AACAATAAACTTCACAGGCTTACCCTAATCTATGGGATTGTAACCTGAGGCCTGCCAAGAAATTGTTGCTGTCAAGTGATATTGGATAAGTGTTTTTACCATTTTAACAAGAACCAGACGATTTAATTTTTTCTGGACATCTATGTCGCGGAGAAGAAAGATAGGGAAATGATGAAATGCATGTGATCATCACCTACAGTAACTTATACACTTAATACCATATCAAAATTTTGAAGAATTCAGATGGCACTTCATGAAGAAAACATATGAATTAAAATATTTTCAACTACTGTTGTAAAGTGGCGAATCCAATGATTGGTCTTTGATAATGGGTTATGGCTGCAAAATTTAATAGGTTTCTAAACTGAATCATAGGTGAGCAGAAATAAGGAGTAGGGATTGTATACAGAAGACTTGAGGATGAGGAGCCTGAATACAAGTTAGGACTTGAACCACAAAGCAAACTAGAATTCATCTTGGCTATTCCAGCCTCAATTTCCTGGAGTTTTTGGAACTTTGTCATAGTTAAAATGAAATAATGCTAGGCTAAATCACATAAATTAGTGATAATTGTTGGAATGTATTGAGGTTTTATGAAAGGCAACTTCTTAAGTTCCAAAACTATTACTATAAGAATACCTTTAACTATAATAGATACATAATTCTTGAAACAGATTTGGGACATAGGAATGAATTTGTGAAAAGTTAGGAACTGTGCTGGTCACATGAATGTTGGTTTTATTTTATTCCCTACCGCAATGAAATGTTGAAAATGCAGTAAAGGTTTGGAAAGCAACTTGGTCTAAAATAATCCAAAATCCATGTTTAAAACAGTATTTCTATTAGGCAAACTGAAGGCTCCCAAAACAGCATGCAACTTTCTGAGTTTCCAAGAACTATTAATCAGGCAAAAAGGTTAAACATACTGCAAAAAATAAAAAGTTGGCTAGGCAAAAAATATAACTTGTATAAAATCTGATTCAAATTACAGTGTCTGAGAGAATGCTGGAACAATCTGCAGGCAAGCAAATTCAATTATGTTTGTTATTGAAGTGAAGTTGGATTTTACGTTGTCTCACTATATCATGCTGTTTGGTGTAGTGGTTAAGGCGTCAGGCTAGAAATTGGGAGACCAAGAGTTCTAGTTCCACAGAGCCACAAATCAGGGTGACCTTGGGCCAGCCACACAGTTTCAACTCTAGAAAGCAGTCAATGGCACATCCAAAATATTGCCAAGGAAACTGGAAGGACCAGACCAGGCAGTCACCAGGTATCAGAAATTGACTGAAAGGCACCCCAAAACAAAACAAAACTTCCATGCAGGTTGCATGATATAGCTATTATTATTTCAATGAATACTTGCAAATTATGAAGTGCAATAGAACATTTTTTCTCGGCAATTTTAAATGTAATACAATGACTTACAACCAACTGTTCATTATTTTATCACTCTGCCTTAAAAACACTGTTTTGGCATCATCCTGGTAGAATACCCCTGAAGTAGATCAGATTGATTTGAAAGTCTCTTACTCTAATAAATGTTTGACCTCTGGGTCTCTTGAATTCACTAGACAGGAGAACTCGGGAACCAATCATCTTGGTGGAACATCCTATTCTGCAGCCCTCATTTGATAAAGGCCTTGACTGCTTTCAACCTTTTCAAGATGATTAGATGAAAGCTGCTCTCTCAAAGTGAAAAGGTTAATCGACTACTCTGTGGTTAATCAATCACTTGAAAAGACTGAACACTGGTAGCTTCTTCTACCAGAGGTTCTTGTATAGTCATATGGGAACATCTATAGGTTAAAGAACAAATAAAACAGATAATCCATTCTGTTTCTGGATGCCAACGCCAAATCCCTTTTGGCAGTAATGGGTTATTTAAAATGGTCCAAAGATAAAAACAGCAAGAATGCTATATTACAGATTATGATCCAGCCATGAGAAATGAATGTTAAACAGCCACAAGGTAATCCAAAAGGTATAGCTTCACCTATTTTTAAAAAGCAGATTGAGTAGGCTAGCAGTGGGCACCCAGACTATAAACTTCACAACACCTTACTCATGCCATGCTTACTTCGGCCAACAGGAATTGGTCTAATAATTTAGAAGAAAGTTTTCTGTTCCTGGAATAACCAAATTATTATTATGGGACATGTAGAAAGTGGATCTGTTATTGGACTTATGGGCACCAATCAATGCCCTTGATGGAGGAAATTTATCCACTATGCTCACATGTATTGGTTTCAGCTGAAACCAGTCTCCATGAATTTCTTCCTCTATAGGAGACCAACAGGCCATCAGCTGTCTGTTTCCCTGTGTGTGCTTGACATGTAGTCTTCTCTCATTTATGCTAATTTCTAATAGTCTAATTTTTAGCAGAAATTTGGCAATACAATCACTTCTCCATGAAAACTAGAATGAATCTTGGATGTGAAACATGAATCCAGCCTAGAACCACCCTGTTTTGGTGGAATTCACACAGGCCTCCTCTTACTGGGAAGAACCCTAACCCTAACTATTCTGGCAGCGATGAAAGCAATTAAGAAAGCCATCTTCCACGGTGAGGATATTGGTGGAAATCTGTCTGATGTACTCATACAGAATAATAGTCAGTGCCTTAAAGGCCAAGGTAAAATGCCATTAATAGAAGTATATAGCTGGGGATATAAGACGTGAGCACATTTGCAAACATGGTGTATTTAAGGGGATCCCAAACAGAAGTCTCTTGTTTATTCTAAATCCTAGCTTATATCAATTGGAAATGGGAGGCGTAACCCACTTCCTATCATAATTATACTTACTTTATGAAAAGCAGATTCCATGAAAAGGGTATAACTATACACAAGGTAAGTTCACTTTTCCTTAGGGGCTATCTACATTGTAGCATGGGGGTCATAATCCTGGATCTATTGCAATATAGTGCAATATTATTTTTATGATTACCATGAACAGATTGTGTATGTGAATCCTTTCCATGGAAAATGTATATAGTGTTGATTTTACACTAGTTCTACGCAATTGTTTACACTGGAGCTGGATTGTCTAATAGCAGTCCTTTTAATACAATTCATGAAACGTCCAGTAAGCAACAAGATCAGAAACCAAACTGAAAATATGTTCCAGCCAAAATTAAGCATGGCTCTTTCTTGCTAAGTGATAGAATTTAGAAGTACTTGTGACTATGCAAAATATTTTTCATGTGATCACTGTAGAGATGTTGGAGGAGAAGGATACCTTATTAAAATCAAAGGCAGCAAGTGAGCAATTGATTACCCATTCAAACTCAGTCTTATTCAAGTCATTTTCAGCAGAGTCACCTAATAAATTATCATTTATGGTTTGAGATAAATTATTTATTTATAAAACTTACTCAGATTTTATAAATGACAAGCTGATACACCAAAAACCTGAGTAAGAATAACTGTTGGAAAAAAAAGCTATTTTTTTTTCATTTTCTTTTCTACAATCTGAGATTCAACTGGCATTTGTGATTCCCTAGCTTAGGGATTTGATTAGAGGAATTGGAAAGCTAAAAACAGTTCTCTGATATATGCCCAATCTAGTGACCCATTTAGTCTACCCAATGGGCTGGTTTGTGTGCATTATCTATTATAATATGGGAGAGAGTAGAGGAGGGAGGAGGAAGAGAAAAAGAAAGTTTTTTTCCTTTTCAACAATGCATATGATTCACTGAATACTGCTTCTAAGTGCCCTGAGGAGTACTGAGCTGGGTATAGCATTATTTTGTAGGGATATGCTGAGTGCATCCATTAGAACAAGTATTTAATTTTTCCAAACCATAAAAACATGCTCAAACAGTGAAATATTTAAAAATCTTGCAATTTTATTTGCATATAAAGGCCGCTAGATATATAATATCGCAATAAATTTAAAGAAACACCTGCTTTCCTAAATTCCATGAAGATAACATAAAACAGAAGAAAGCTCAATAGCATTTACAGTGGTAGAACAGAAGTAACTATCTGCAACAATATTTTGTGCTAGCAAGATTGCATTTACACACAGTGCAAAATAAGAAAAAAAGAAATGGAAAGACAATTCAATAATATTTTAAATATAAAGGACAACAAAGCCTTATTTTAGTTAGGCTTGATTGTATTCATTTGATTCTATACATGCCCGAAACTGCACAAAGATTTTAAACTCAAGCTCTTGAAGGCCTTGAGCGATTGGAAAACATGTATCACATCCTTCATAATTTAGATGTGCTATACAGCATAATTTTGGAGATGCTACGCTGGCAATATTATATGCCTTGCTTTGTTATAATGCACAAAAAATATATATAAAAATCCATATTTAAAAGGAGTCCGCATTTACATGTTTTTACTGCATGGAACACCTGCTCATTGCAGTTTTCATTCCCATATTTTTAAAACTAAAATAATTTAAGAGACTCACCCAAATTGTGACAATTTAGATAATCATATACAGGATGTTGCTATCTAACTGATCATTAAAGCAGGCAGACAAACTAAACCTAGAAAGCTATTTTCCCTCACTACTGCAATACCATTAATAAGCAGAATTTCATAGAACGCATATGTATCAATCAAAAAACTGATCCCTGATCCAGCAATCAGCTGTGGACACAGGAGCTCTGATGGGTAAAGATTCTTCCAGATCAAGAATTCTTTTCAAGAAAGAGAGATGATTCACTGAAATGAATGGAGAATCCACATCCAGTTTAATAACTCCGTGGCCACAGCCTAGCACAGATGTAAGCATATCTAGAACCATCAATTCCAGAAGTTTTCAATATACTTCATTCAATACTAAATTGTGACCTGCATTGCACAGGGACATATCCCAACCTCTGATTCATGGAACATATACATGCTAATAAAAATGAGGAAAGAATGGTATTTTATCATTGGAGATTTCCCCCCCCCCCCCAAGAAAACAATAAAATTTGTGCAAATTTGGATCTGGGTGTTTTTTTTTTTAAACAATGCCTTTTATAATCTTATTTAATAATATTAAAATAAGGTGTCTCACTCATTAAAAGAAAGCTTGGCTGTCCTTTTGAGAACATTAACAATTTACAATGGCAAGTTAATTAAGAGAACATAAAACTTCATTTTACAAATTCACAATGCTTTATCAATTTTCAAATGGATGCTGCATTTCCAAAAGAAAGAGAGAGAGAGAGAGAGAAAAGAAAAAGCACAACCCCTATCTTTTTTTCCCCTCTGTAACAACAATTTACAAAAAAGCCCTACATTATTTGTAAAGAAACATGTTAAGAGAATGAATGTTTTGTAATTAGAAAAATGGCAGTTTATAGACCTTCCCCAGTGGAGTAGTGGTCTTTCATGATCCTTGTGGGGTTGGCAGGTCAAATATAATTGGTGGGTTGGTTGGCTGAAAGCTGACTGTACACGTTGAGGCATTAATGTATGTTGTGTAACCATCTGTCATAATGCCGTAACCTGTAGAGAAAATGTGTTACATTTACTGTGATGTAAACAAACATTGACCTAGTATAATGCCCACTCAGGGACAAAAGGAGTGGGAAAATGTTCTAAACACACTTTGGAAACTGCATTCAGTTAAAGCTTTAAACATATTTCCAGTAAACTAAAATCACCCACATAATTCTTTCCCTGGGTTTTTAAGCAATAAAATTTTGCTTTAGTATGAATTAAAAAAAGTTAAGAAGATAAAGGTGTCTTCAATTTACATTATAAGAATTGTTTCTAAACTGCTCTGTAGGTTCATCATATGTAAAATATAACCATGATGTAAGACAATGCTTAATTTAATTGGTGTTAACACCTCTTTCATTACATGGGCAATTTAGCTACCTGATATATCATGAAGTCACTTCAGAGAACTTGTCAAAAACATTCCCACTACCTCCCAAACATTTTTTTAATTCAAACTTCATCTAGATTATCCACAAGTCCATTAGACTCTTGTCTGTGTACTTCAGCAGCATTTGGTGGGGCGTACTACTATTTAAAGCAGGGGTCCCCAAGATGTGGGCCGCAGCCCATTGCCGGTCTGTGTCCTGTTTGTAACAGGGCTGGGTGTGTGTGCATGCCCGCATCTCCACTCATGTGACCGGCAGTGCTCGCAGCCCTACTTGTGCGAGCAGCAGGCACTGGTGCTTGCAGCCCCACTTCACAAATGAAGCTATGTGCATGCGTGTGCCTGCCCCACGCACAAAACCATCCCCTCTTCCCACTCTCCCTCCTGCGCCAGGCCCCCAACCCGTAAAGATTGGGGAAACACTGATTTAAAGTACGATGAACACAGAACACAAATATGTTCCCCTTTGTTCAACAACCTGTTCCGTTGCAGGTGCCAAATATATGTGGTGTAAGATGCTATCAATAAACTGGTGGGAAAATGGCAGAAAAAGGAGAATCAAAGCAGAGCACCAGTTTTCTAAGATCCTTGCAATGTAGAATATGGTGCTGTGATGTTGTCTTTTGCTTTGTTGCTGATTACAAAGAGTAAAGGGCACCAGCGTGTGGGCCGGTGTAATATTCTATTTATTCTGAAATTTGTCAACAGGATAGGACAATGCTGGATGATGTCTAAACTCTTCCCAGCCTGCTCCTATTCACTCTCTTCAGTGTTGGATCTTTCTTTGGGCTCACAAAGGAAGCTTAAAAACTCTCATTAAATTCTCCGTGATCAAACCATCTTCAGAAGATAGAAAAATCTTAAAATCTTCCAGAATGCCATCCTCGGCATTAGAAGACTCTATAGTAACTTAGACATTATATGTGTATCTTGTGTGTGTGTGTGTCTTTGTGTGGCAAAAACGTACACAAGAGCTTCTCCTCCAGTGCTGGTTGATACTGTCAGGATATTGGATCTATAAAGAGGGAGGCTTCTTTTCAATATGCTGTCTCAGAATTCTGTGCAAATGATATGACCAAAAATGCATGGTGTATGGGAAGTCATACAAATTTAAATAAATAGGAAAGAGAAAAAGATCTTTGCAATTTTACTCATCAAAAGCCAAATTAGTGAGTTTAGTGGCACCAAATTTTTGTTCTGTCCTTTCAGGTGAAAATAATCTTATATAATTTACCCTTTGCAATTAATAATTAAGGTGCTGAGGGTTAAATCTATACTTCTGAGAACAATTATTTCACAATTGCTGTACAGGCAATCTCTCTCAAAAAAAAATTCCATTTGAGTTGTTTTTAAAATAGATCCTCTCTGTGATCTATGATTTTGCTTTTTAATAAAATAGTGAAAAGCTGAAATCCTCAACAGTATGCAACTGCTTGTCCCAATTAATGTAAGAGATGCATGGGCATTTATAGGTTAACTATGAACTGAATTAAATGAAATATAATTTTGATTCTGATATACTGAATATATATGGATATATATGCGTGGTCTTAAAAATACAAAACCATACTTGTCCATTCCATGTTGTCAGCTGAGGACATGATTCTACTTTCACCTAGCAATACCATATTTCTCTATGGCTAAGATCCTAAAGTATAATAGGGCATTTGATGTTTGTTATAATAATAATAATAATAATAATAATAATAATAATAATAATAATAATAATAATAATAATAATAATAATAATAATAATAATAATAATGGTATTTGAATGGGAAGTTTCATTATGTTCGAGGAAATCTACTCATATAAGTAGAAACTGTTATAATCTCAATGCTCTTGAATACTCATTAAATCTCTTTTATAGTTGAAGTGTGCAATACCAGCCTAGTCATAAACTTAAATTGTATAATGCTGAACTTCACAGTAGCTTTCCATAATGATCTCTCCATCAGTTAATTCTATTATTAGTGGAAGTTTGATTACTTTCAACATGGAAGACAACTACAAAAGCTGCAGGCAGTTTCCATGCTTTAATAAAATATTTGTTTCTTATGTCATTTATTTAACAGTAATACCTAAATATTTATAGAAAACTATACAGTTTGCCTTATTTTTTACATGGCTGCTGCTGTGGTTAAGGGTTAGTTAGCATTTCTCATTACGAAAACCTATTTGAAAGTCTTTATATAACACTGGTATAAAAACCTAGTTGCTTTAAAATAATGCAAACGTGGGGGGGGGGGGGAAAGCAACAGTATTAACTGGACATCTGGTGTTTTATAAAGTTACTCCAAAGCTGTGTGCTTACAGACAGCTTAATTAGAGACCATAAGAAATTTCCAGAAAAAGGGAGGTATGAAATATAAAGCATTTAAATATATCATTTTTTAGCTCTGGGGTCACAACATTGTTCTCTCTCTGCTCTCTCAAAGGCAGCACTTGCAGTATTTGTCTCACTGGGATATAAACGCGACTAAAGTTCATTAAATATTTAAAACTCCTGCTTAGTTTATTTGAAGGAATTTCTCATTACACCACAACCAGATTTGTGCGCTAGAAATGTCCCTGCTTTTAATTTAACATTAAAGCAGGATATTTAGAAAAGCTTATCTAAAAACACATACACACTATTTAAAAACATCTGAAATTTAAACCAGATTATAACTCCACACACATCCACACACCCACTTCACTTGTTATTTCTTGATCTCTGTTATTTGGGTTATGTTGTTCACATCTTGAACCTTCTATTAAAAAACATGTGCAGAATGAAACCACTTGCTGCAACATAAATGGTCTCTTTTATCTGAAAGGCTCCAAATGATTTAAAGATGTTACTCATATCTGCAAATCATACAAGACTCTTAGGGAAGCTTCAATGCCCAGAACATGGACAAAAGCCATAAAGTGGATATTGTATAGGTAGTCCTTGACTTACAACCACAATTGAGCCCAAAATTTCTGTAAGATTATCTGGGACACTACACATCCTCTTCACGACCTGTTTTCCTTGTTACCTTCTGGGAGGAGGCTTCGCGGTATCCAAAGCAGAACATCCAGATTCAGCCAGAGTTTCATTCCATACAGCATTAACCTTGCGAACTCTCAAGCTTCCTCCTTCCGTTATATATTCAAGATGGACAATATTTAATATTTATTGCTACGTATATGTAGGGATGTGAGTCTGTACATATGTTGTTCATAGTATGTTTAGGTGTGTGTCATGTATGTGTTTCACTTTGAGAGCGGGCAACTAAATTTCATTTTTGATGTGTGCCATTGTGCCCACAGTATAAAAATGACAAAGTTTATCTTATCTTATCTTATCTTATCTTATCTTATCTTATCCAAGTAAGAAATTTGTTAAGTGAGTTTTGCTCCATATTACAACCTTTCTTGCCTCAGTTGTTAAGTGAATCACTGCAGTTGATAAGTTAGTAACTCGGTTGTTAAGTGAATCTGGCTTTCCCACTGACTTTGCTTTGTCAGAAGGTTGCAAAAAGTGATCAGATGACTTTGGGACACAGAATGGTCATAAATATGAACCATCTGAATTTTGATCAGTGACTAAAGGAATACTGCAAGGGTCGTAAGTATGAAAAATGGTCACAAGTCACTTTTTTCAATGCCGTTGGAACTCTGAATGGTCACTAAACAAACTGTTGTAAGTCGAGGACTACCTGTACTTGTCTACTATAAGGAGGATTTATCAGGATGGTAAATAACTTGATACAATCAAGTCTGTGCTTCCCTATTATTGACTCAAATGGCACCAGGCCACTTCCTGTAACGCACAATTCTCCTTATCTCCTATTGCTTCATCTTCAGCTCTAATATTGGTTTAAATGCTGAACGTTATACATGAATATTTTTTTTAAAAAATAACTTCACTTATATTTCAAAACCCTTTTGTGACAAAATACCAAAAAGAGTGGCTCTAATATTTTCTTGTCAAAAGGCATCTTATTTCATGGATTGCTTACCTTCATGGATACCTCCAAAGACATGGAGTTTCGGTCTTACTCGCCTTTGTACTGTGTTTAGCAATTCCACACAGCCAACCCTCTGCAGCTCCTTTGGAACCCAGTCTCGAAATCCTAAAAACATGATAAAATTGATTGTCTTACATTTCTGTATGTAAAGTTTAATACAGATTTTTAGGAAGCAGTAACTGACAGAGGGTTTACTACATTATCTATAATTCTATCGCTATTATAATATACAGTGGCTTTTAAGAAACTTTTCATTGGCACAATGACTCTTAAAGTTATGGGCATTATTCTTTTTGAATTCTACCTCTGCCTTTCCAAATAATATATTTCGCTACACAATTTGATTTAGCTAATTGCACAGAGTCACCTACATAACACAAGGCTGTTAAATATGTATTCTTGGTAGCGGTGCACCTTCTCAACTTTCCTTTGCCTTTTCTTTAATGGTGTTTGCCAATTGATCAGATAATGATGGCTTACAGAGTTACACTGCCTAAGCACTTGATAATTCACCTATTACATATATCTAACATACAGCAACTCAGTGCAAAATCCATGTGTGTATGTATGAGATCATGTGAACTGGCCTATATCTTGAAATCTGATGGGCCTTTAGAACAATGTGCATACACAGAACATTCCCTGATATGATTATTTATGTAAAATTATATAATAAGTAACGCTTATACTGGCCTTTCTTATTTTGGCATCCTCCATGCTTCATGGGCAACTGACCTCCCCCAAAACTGAATGGTGGGTCCAACATGGCTAAAGTGTGCTGTGTAAAGGGGTTACACCATGTTAGCCCAAGCAAAGTGCCTCTTCTTAAAACACTCAGATAACATAGTTCAACAGAATTTTTCCAGCAATCCCAATGGAAGTGTTGTCCATGCTTGTATGTACAGACAACCTGAAAAAGTTCTCCAAACAATAGTGGCGAGTCTTCCAGAGGATGCAGCCATATCAGTTTTTCAAGAACAGTTGCTTGGCTTGAGCCATTGCATTTCAAAAAGTCTCACTAAAGAGTGCCAGATTGTGAGATGGCTACTTTCTTACTGTGGCCCTTTTAAGAATCTAGGAAGCGGCCCATTATGTGATTCTGTATTATGGAAATGCAGTGGATTCCCCAGCTGAAGTGAATAAAATAATTTTGCATATGGTCACTTGCACACTGATAGAAACTACAGAATCAGAATAATAACTATTATTTCCATATGGCAAAATGGAAGGAAATGTAGATTTTCAATGTCATTACCTGGAAAATAGGTAATTAGGGAAATCAAACAAATATAAATCCAGATGGTGTCCAAAGACATCAATACTGACATCCATGCAAGAAGCATTTATTGAAAAAAAACAGCAGAAAAAGAAAGATGGTTGACATATGAGTATCTATTAATACAAGACAAGGGAGAATTGTCTAGGAGGAGCTGAGAGAACAACTAGGAGAAGGCCATTTTCAATGATTTTTTTTATAATCAGCTAAGGCTTTTAATATGGACAAAAGGATAATTGGAATCAAGAAGAGGAAAACTGAATTTGAAGTAAAATAATGTATAAATGATGATCATGTAATAATTAAAAGACGTATACATTGTTATTAAAATTTGAGGATGAACAGCTAAAAGAACATATGATGAAATGGACTACAAATGTTGATTATAAGAATTGTTTCTGTTGTGTTTTGTGGATAATGAACTAAAAAAGAAGTATGGGCAACTGATGTAGTATATAGTAATGCAGCAAGATTATAATGAAATACCCACAGTGCAAGATTGGATTATAAAATTGATGGAGCTTGTGGCAAAGTTGACCATTTTGGTCAGGGGAAAAAATAATAAAATATTTTTTTTTAAAAAAAAGACTGAAAGCCTTATATGGACTTTTTGTTGAAAGAAGAAAAGACTGAAATGATTTATGGACTTGGGGATTAAATAGGATCAAAGAGCAATGGGAAATAAAATTGCAGAATCCTCTGCGCCTTCTGAGCTTGGTTGTTAGCTTGAAAGATGTTTCATTACCCAACTAGGTAACATCATTAGTGCAAGTGGGTGTGGAGTTTACTTCCTGTTTACCTACCCTTTAGCTTGCCCTGCCAGTTTTAGTGGGTTTTTCCTTTGCAGTTCCTGGCTTAGGTTAATGTTTTCTACTTGATTGTTTGACTGGTGCTAATCTTGGGGTTGGCTGCTGGAAAGCATGTGTTCTGGTTTTTCTGTTTCCTTCTTAACTTTTGTATTGTCTCTTAAATAGTTTGTAAATATGTTTTATTTCTATGTACCTATCGATAGCTGATTTCTCAAGAATTCTCTAACATTCTTTCAAGAATTCCATAACATTTTTGGATTTAGCTTATTCTAGAATGCTCTCAGTTTCCAAGATTACAAGATTAATATTAGCCCTGTGAGATAGTCCAGTCAAGAAAATCAGAAGTACTAACTCTATCTTTATTGTTGCTTATATTATCAAAATCTTGCAGGATTGAAAGTATTTTCCCCCTCCTTTTACTTTGCATAAAACTAGGGAGAGTCCCTTCTAAGAGTTCTTTTCCCATGTATAAAGAATGGTTGCTGGAATTGGGTATGTCTAGTTTAATGAAGAGAAGGACTAGGGGGACATGCTAGTAGTGTTCCAATATCTCAGGGGTTGCCAAAAAGAAGAGAGAGTCAAGCTATTCTCCAAAACACCTGAAGGCAGGATAAGAAGCAATGGATGGAAATTAATCAAAAAGAGAAGCAACCTAGAACTAAGGAGAAATGTCCTGACAGTTAGAACAATTAACCAGTGGAACAACCTGCCTCCAGAAGCTGTGAATGCTCCAACACTACTTTAAGAAGAGACTGGAAAACCATTTGTCTGAAATGGTATAGGGTAGTGGTGGCGAACCTATGGCACGGGTGCCAGAGGCGGCACTCAGAGCCCTCTCTGTGGGCATGCGCGCCGTCGCCCCAGTCCTAGGCATTCAGCTGGGTTTTATAAAACCTTTTTGCTTTAGGCCTCCGCTGCCGTGTACAAAAAAAAAAGATTCAATCAATCAGTCAATTTCAACTTCTCGCGGGGAAAAAAAAAGATCTTGCAAAGTTGGAATTGATTGACTGAATTTTTTAATCCCATCCAGTCTGCTGTTACCACCGCAGCCATGCCCACCCAATGGGCCACACCCACCCAATGGCCACACCCACCCAGCACCCGACGATGCATAAGTAGGTTTTGGGTTGCAGTTTGGGCACTCAGTCTCTAAAAGGTTCGCCATCACTGATATAGGGTTTCCTGCCTGAGCAGGGGGTTGGACTAGAAGACCTCCAAGGTCCCTTCCAACTCTATTATTATTATTATTATTATTATTAGTTATTGTTGTTGTGCAGGGGGTTGGACTAGAAGACCTCCAAGGTCCCTTCCAATATGATGATGATGATGTCATCCCACCTTCTGTAGGATGAGATATCTTCTGCATGTTGGTTATCCCTTCTGCATCTCTCCCTTTTGTTTCCTAAGGTCATTCTCTCTACAATTATACCATTGATTTCAAAATGTGGGCATTAATATTTAATTCCCTAAATTATATTGTGGTTAAAGTATGTAAAAGATTATCTTCTCCCACATATACCAATGCAGACTGAAATTTTCACAGGCCCTTTTCTGAGTGCTCCTAACAAATGAGATGTAATGGATATCTGCTAAGGAGACCTTATGTTCAATAGTGATACAAGCTGTGGAATATATGCTTTAATGCTTTTAAGTTGCAATTTTAAATTTGTTTTTAATATTCCTCTTGTACTTTAATATTATATAGTTTAATTATCTTTCTATAGTCTACTCAAAGGACTTTGACAAGATAATGGTAGAAAATGTGGTAAATAAGAAGATGCAGTATATACCAGGCTTGGTAGGATTGCATAATACAATAGTCATTATAATTTTGTTGTATGTTTACACAGAGCTCTGTCATCAATTTGTGTTCATCTCGTTTTTTACAGCTTTGTAGCTGATAATGCTAATACCATTGTCAACGCATTGACAACAGATAGAGATGCAGCCATTTTCTTCTTTTTGCTTTTAGAGATAGATGATGCTGGGGAGGGAAGGGAATGTGCATGAGAGTCTAGCTCAGTGTTTCTCAACCTTGACAATTTTAAGGCATGTGGACTTCAACTCCCAGAATTCCACAGCCAGCAATGCTGGCTGTGGAATTCTGGGAGTTGAAGTCCACATGCCTTAAAATTGTCAAGGTTGAGAAACACTGGAGCTAGACATAATAACACTGAACCTAGCATGAGAACCAAGGTAACTGAAATAAGAAATGATAAGGAGTTGGTGGGATGGAGAACTGGGGCTTTAAACTAATTGGGGAATGTGATTTATGACTGTTAACTGGAGGAGGGAATTGTGCTTTGATACTATGTGCTCAGAGGAGGAGAATCCAGTTTTTGGCTTCCATGTGTTAGTGCCGATGCTATGCTACTCAAATAAAGATTCTTTAAGGTAAACAATGCCTCAAAGTTATTTGATGAGTTTCATCTGTTGGAACCATGACAACCATTCTGTACATACCTTGTGTGAAAAGGTTATTGTATATTGTAGAGTGGATGCACTGCCTTTTAAACTTCTCCAAAGAGAAGAATGCTGAAAAAGCCTGCTTTCTTACTTTAATTAAGTCTTCTTCATTATTTTCTCCAAGTTACATCGGTGCAAGGATGAGCACTCTTATATATATATTCTTCTCAATCATATTTTATACAGATTTTGCAATGCAAAATCTTATTGCACCACCAATATTCATTGTCATATGGAAAGGGTGTTTGAGAAAGATGGAAATGAAAGAGACACAGCCACCTGATTTATAAAAAATATAGGTTACAGCTTTAATGGTTACAGCTGGGCCCACACAGAGCATAGATCTGTTTTATACACCTCACTCTCTCCCCAGATAGGAGAGAGAGTGCACAGGTCAGTTGCTTTAGAATTACTCATGTGCTACAGGAAAGGCCTCTTCATGTTATGACAACATAAAGGTAAATCACTGGTTAGGAATTTCTGTCTTTAATAGGGAAAAACAAAAAATCAATCATTCAAAAGTGTATGGAGCCAAGGTAGCTAAAGCTCATTTA